TTTTTTTTTTTTTTTTTTTTTGACAGTCTGAGTAGTCTGTACTGATACATTGCATTCGAGAGCTAAGTGTTTATATGCTGAGCGAAAAGCCTGCTTTCTTGCCCTCTCCACTTATCCTTAACTGTTTTCCATTTGTCTACTCCCTCACTACCTCTTCTCTCTTCCTCTTTGCTCTCTTAATGGGTGCCAGCTCACAAAGCTTATTTTCCCTACCCTTGGGTCTGCCAGACCCTTTCTTCCCTCAGTTTAATCTTGATTCCTGCAGGTGTTTTTTCTGCTCCTGGTGCTACTTCGGTCACCCCATCACCTGTGGGCATCTGCAACACCTTCATGCAAGGTGTTGACATCCACACCTCATTCTTCATGTAGTTCAGGGGGTTAACTTGCTGTTTTCAGATCCCATCTTTTGTTTGAAGGTTCCAAAACTTCCAGTTTCAGTATGATACTCTGTTCATTAAAAGCAAAATGCACCCTTTTCTTTCCACCTCTGTCTTTCTGTTGGCATAAGCATTTAAAGCAAGCCGGCTGATGATGAATATTCAGCTCCTGAAGGGGGACTGGGAAATTGGAGATCCAGGAGTTTCGACTCCTCCACTTCAACATCCACACAGGAGAGAGGCAGAGGCCACAGAAAGAAAGGTTCCAGTGGGTGAACGAGTTCTATGCAGCCTTATCTTCTGCCCAGCTGTGAGAGGGTTTCTAATTTCTGCTTGTGACAGCAGGTGACATTTGTGACATTAGTGCCTGTTTCCATCGTGCAGAGCTGCTTCAGGCAGAGCTTTGCCCTCAGGCAGGCATGAGGGAAGATGCAGCCAAAGATTGGGAGGTGGGAGCTGCAGGTAGGTGCTCCTGTAAAAGGAAGAGCTCTTCGGGTTATTGTTGGAGCCAAATATTACATGTAGCAGAACAGTACGTTTTGGGAGTACGATTATATCACACTGTGCAGTAGGCAGGATGAGGGGTGTCTAAAAATACTAGCCTCAGATCCGTGAGTTAAGGAGTACTGACAGCCTCTTGATTGTCTGTTATTTCTGCAGAGACTTGGCTCCCGAGTTCCCAGCTCCTTCATGTGGCTTTTTGGGGTGCCAGTCAGCAGGATGCTGCCTCTGCCGGGTTCCCATTGCTGCTCGTGCTGAGCAAACTTAGGAGTTAACTCGCCCGTTAGAAGCCTGCAGGGAGGAAACAGCAGCTTAAATGGCAAAGCTGATTCTAGACCTTGACTTGTTTGTGGAGCAAAGGGGTATRGAAAGAAAAAAATGCTTCATGTGGCACATTCCAGCTCTCGCAGMCGGTTAGCAATGCTATTTAACACGCCCTTTCTAAGCGCAGTGCAAACAGCTAGAGCCGGCCCCAGGGTCCACCTCAATAACAAGGTCCAAAGGGGTTCTGGAGGAATCTGGGGTCTGTTTCTGGTGAATAGTGTGAGAGAAGCCCAGGGACGCAGTCCTGTAGGTCACGTCCTTATTCCAGATCCTTGGAAAGGTTCGTAGTCATCTTTTCAGATCCTGGGAGACTCTGTTCACCAAACCCTGCTGTCTCCTGTCCCAGCGCTCCCTWCCTGGGAAGGACAGAGCACTTGGAGCAGATGTCTAGAGGCTCCTGCTATGTGAATCCTGCCCTTCCTCCCARGGGCCTCCTGCTATTCTTGGGCTGGCCAAATCCTGCCGGGCTTGTTCCTTTTGCTTAGGGCCTCCGTGCAMGCTCCTGTTCTGGCAGCATTCCCTGCCCTCTCTCCAAGTAACTCTCATGTTACCAGCTCTCTCTGCTCCTTTTCATTGCTATTTTCTCTTTTTTTCCCCCCTGAATAGAGCCTCATATCTTGTGCCAGGAAGACAATTACACAATTGGGGTGTGAAGCATTAAATCATCRGGCCCCTGGGCCTCTCGAGAGGGCGCAGTGCAGCGAGGTTTGTGAGGAGCTGGCAGAGAAGAGTCCGGGTTTGAGCTGTGGAATTAACCATCAGTCCCTGGAGTGACTAAGGAAGTTCACGCACTGTGAAAGGAATCTTGTAGTTGAGCTCAAATAGGAAGCATATCTATAAATACATGTATATACACATTTCTATTCTATTTATAATATATATAAAATATATATTATATATAAATATGTATATATTTATATATGCATATTTATATATATATATATGCATAAAGATATTGGGGCTTGGGTGTTAGTGTTTGGAATAGGGGAGATTTCTTAGTTCCTGGCTAAAAGTGAGCGTTTCCCTGGGAGTTTGTCWTTAAATGTGACTCATATTATGGGTGTTGGTCACAGCTGTGGAGCCCTGCTCAGTAGCCATGTGTGCTGGACGTTATCCGGGATAGACGGACAGTTTTCCCCTTGTTCCTGAACACGCAGCCCTTTTCCTGGGGTGTGAAATTGGCTCAGGATGTCACTAGTTCAGGAYTCTTTAGGCTCAGGTTTTGTGATACAGACCTGGTGCTGAGAGGGCCTCGTGCAGAGCGGCCGCTGCCTGCCCTGTGCAGCACACTGAGGTCGTTAACCAGGGTAAACACCTTCCCCTCCACTGCAAGGCACTTATCACAGTCAGAAAAACCCATCCTGCTAGAAACGTATTGCCAGAATATAACGATGGGCAAGGACTGGTTTTGTCTCTTGCCAGTTTTTTGTTATTATGAACAGAAACTTGTGTAAAGAGAAGAGTCTTAAAGGGTGTGTAACAGCTTGAATGACTTGGACATGTGTGATCTTTTGGGACTTGGAAGCACATGAGTTCAAGGTAAAGGTTTTAGGGAAATCCCTTCCCTTTAGACATTTTACCAGAAGCTGTAGATTGGCCAAAATCACCTTCCTGGCAGAACAGAAGATCAGTTTCTTTGAACGTAAAGCAAAATGATAGCCCTTTTCCAGCAACAAGAGCAATGTAAACCGTTCCATACATAATTTTAAGCACCTCATATGGTTTAATATAAAGTGTAGGCAGAGGAGAATGGGTCTTTTGGATGGAGTTGAACTTTACCTACAGAAAAGATCTAGTTCGAAGCTGTTGAACAGCGTGATATCAGTGCGGCCCCATGGAAAGCAAAAGGGAATTTCCCACAAACCAGTGACACACCACGGATAAATAAAAGAAATCCACGTACAGATGCACCCAGCTCCTGTAAGGAGCCTCCTGGAGCACTGCCTGCCTTGCAAACCTCAGAAGGGGTGCTGGTTGAAACATGTGCAAGTTATTTTGTTTGTAAAATCCATTAAAATTCCCACTTAACACTGTATTCCTGTTGCTGGGCTGCCATGAAGAGCTTGCTTTCCTCCCATGCAGGGCATGAACCAGAAGGAGAGCTCCAAGTCAGCCATGATGTATATCCAGGAACTGAAATTAAACCTCAGGGACGCTCAGCTGCTCAACTGCCTGGAGTCACTGCGGGTGTCGCTGAACAACAACCCCGTCAGGTAGCGTTGGGGAGGCCGCTGGGGTGCAGCCCTGGCCAAAACTGCAACTGCCAAGGGGAAGGTTGGTGCCTTCACACCGGGAGAGAGTGGGAAGGGGGTGTGGAAGTACCAAATTGTACCAATTTTCTTTTCTTTCTTCTTTCTTTTTTGGTATATGCACGTATATACGTTATTTTTTGTTGTTCCTGACAGTTGGGTGCAAAACTTTGGCGCTGAAGGCCTCACCTGCCTTCTGGATATTTTGAAAGGACTCCATGAGGAAAAAGAAGAAGCACCAGGGTGAGGAGCTGAGATTGCATGAGAATTGTTTTGGAATGTCATGGTTTCCAGAAAGCCACAAGGCCATTTACTCCTCTGGGCTCTTTGTGGCCCAGAGAGGRAGGCAGAAGGGAAGAGCAGGAGGGAAGGCTGGTTATGTGAAACTGAGGCAGGGCTTTGTTTGGGGACTGAAATATCCATTCTAGGATGGAGATGGAGATGTGTATGAGTGTGGGTGTGAGAGCAGTGGTTGGGATTGAGCTGAGGACGTGATAGTGGCAATGGGAACACTGGTTATATCAGAACTCAGTCCGGTTGTTTCCTGCATTCCTGTTTCCACTGCCCTTTGAAGACCAGGCCCGATTAAGAGGTGTAATAGCAGGCAGCAAAGCAAACTCTAAGAGCTTTGGTGGTGAGCAGGAGGGACGTGTCTGGTTCCCTCAGTCTGTGTTTGTCATCTGGCTGCTTTTCTTCCTTCCTCGCAGTTCGTATGACACCCGGAGCAGACACGAGATCATCCGGTGCCTCAAGGCCTTTATGAACAACAAGGTGAGTGTCCTTGGCCGCTGCCCGGAGGTGAGCGGCCCGGGCGCAGCTCCCTGCTCCTGTCTCTCCTCTTACCTCGGGACACTTGCCTGTCGGCCCTCAACGGGCCCTGCAAACAGTAGTGAAAGTTTCTTCAGTAAATTGTTGTGGTCATCACATTGCTTGTTTTATTTCCCTACTGGGTTTTTTGGTCTCATCCCCTCAATCCTATACTTAACTTGAGATGTCCCAAGCACTTTAGCTCTGTTTTTTCAGGCCCGTGGGACTCCAGCTGCTGTGCCCTCTTTCCTGGCTTGTTCTGCTCATCTCTGATTATAGCTCTCTTTGTCACACCTGTATCTCCTCCTCCTTGTCTTCTTCTGCCTCTTCTTGTCTTACTCCTGTGCAGTGGATGCCTCTTTTCCCTTTTTTTTTGTGATGGAACTGGGGTACTTCTCCATGTGTGTTCTTCCTTTGCTTGAGTAAACCAAGTCTTTCTTTCCTCCCAAGCCCGCCCATTCCTTCTGCAGTTCCTGGAATTTTAAGTTCCACTGGCAACTTTACTCTTGCTGGTGGCATGTACTTGAAGTTGTATCCCTCCTCCCTCCCTTGTCATTCCCCTGTCACCCATCAGACACCAGGATAACACATTTTTGGACAAACTTTGGGAGCAAGTGCCTGATTTTCATTTCTCCTCACCTTCAGAATCATCAACCATTCCCCCCTCACTCCTCTATAGGACTGTCTCAGTGTCCAACACTAATTCCACCTTTCTTTTCTCCCTAGTTTGGAATCAAAACAATGCTGGATACGGATGAAGGGATCCTACTGCTTGCGAGAGCTGTTGACCCAAAAGTCCCTTCCATGATGATAGATGCTGTGAAGCTTCTGTCTGCCCTCTGTATCCTGCCTCAGCCTGAAAGCATGTACGTGGTGGCAGTTCCTCTGCCTTTGGCTGCCCTTGAACTATTGGACTGTTACTTGTCACCTCTATGGAGTCTCTTTTCTGCCTCTTGCTCTTCATTTTACTCTTGCTCCTCGCCTGGCCTACGAGGTAGTCGCTGATTGTCTCTCGTCACAGGAACGAGCGGGTTCTGGAGGCGCTGACTGTACGAGCAGAAATGGATCAGGTGGAACGATTCAAACCTTTGCTGGATGGTCTGAAGAATGACACCTCGGTGGCTCTGAAGGTACCTGATTTCCTTAAATTTGGTGGCTGCTGCATCCTGAATCCAACACAGCAGCTGGAGAGTTTGTAGCAAGATGAGCTTGGGGTGGATGAAATGCCTTTTGGCTTAGCTTCTTTATTGTTACTSTTATTTTTTTCTCTCTATTACAGCTTTTTGTGTGGTTTTCTGGTTCCAAAGCACTGGAGTCTTTGCTCAGGAGTTTTCTCTCGCTCTTTTTGTCCTTTAGGTGGCCTGTATGCAGCTGATCAATGCCATGATCAGCTCTGCTGATGAGCTCGACTTCCGAGTTCACATTCGCAGTGAACTGATGCGTTCTGGRCTGCAACATATCCTTAAGGTAAGGAGCAGCCATCTTCCCTGTTTCCCACCCTTGAATACCATGACCCCATTAAAAACACTCAGAGAAAACCATATTTCTAGCACCTACAAAGCAAAATTGATATAATGAGACACTCTGTATTGCAGCCCTTTCAGTGGCTTTCTAGCTGCCTGCGCTTGAAGGAACATCCAGCTCCAGGCATAGATTTTGTTTGTTTGTTTAATAGTGGTAGAGCTTTTTCCTGTAAACCCGTAATAATGATCTCTTCTTATGAATATCCAGTCTGTTCTCCCTTGGGGACCAGTTCCTTCGGGTATCTGTTGGCCTCAGCTGTGCCATTATGAGCTTTCCTGGGGCCTTCTTTAAACCTTGTCCATAAATCTGGTCCAGGCTGTATTACTTCGAGCTGTGCTCTAACCTCTGAACCGCTGCCCTCTTTGGCAGAAGCTGCAGATGCTGGAGAATGAAGAGCTGAAAGTGCAGCTGTCTATATTTGAAGAACTCGGTGAGGAAGACTCTGAGGACCTCAGGAACCGTCTAGATGAGATTCGCATCGAAATGGAATATCCTTTTTTTGCTGGTTGCTGGGCTGAGCATGGAGCTGAGGAAGTTAATGTTCCTCAGAGCTTCTAAACTCGAATCTAGGTGGAAATCTGAATAGAGCTGCGATTTCTACCAGATGAAAATGTACACAAACCATGTATTTGTCCAAACCATTTGCACAAACCATTTATGCTACTAGGCAGGCTTGRGATTGTGAAATTGAAAAGAAATCTCCACGCAGCCCTTTCTTTGTGGAGGGGTAGATCTGTTCTGATTAGGTTTGGGGGGTTTTCAAAGCCACCCACCCAGCCTAAGTCAGGAAGAAGATGAACCCCGATCATTTGCTGTCATCCGTTAAGAGTTTCTGGAAAGTTTGGCACGTTGGGAGATCCAAGTTGCTCTTTCAAACACGTGCTAAGGAGAGGTGAGTCTGCAGCTGCAGAGAGGGGAGTGCTCGGAGCCTGTGAGCACCAGGAGGCAGAAGTGGCCCCAGTGACTTGAGAGTCTGTGGAGCACAGCTTGCTTGGTGCACTGTGCTCGGGTTTGCCTTTTTCAAGCTGTGCTTAGCTCTGGGGCAGCACAGTGAGACAGGGGCTGTGTCCGTGCAACATCCAGAGAGCTTGTGGAGATGGCCACCAGAGGGCATGTGGAGCGGCTGCTGCTTTGCCGGAATTCAACGTCAGAGCATTTTCAGCAGTCCATTTTGGTGTGGGAATCTAGGGAGAGCGGCAGTCTCGCTGCTGGATCCCTCCATTCCCAGATACGGATTTTMTTTTAGGGGAAAGAGAGAAAATTAAGAGTTATGCAAGCGATCAAAGGGAGATCATCATGTGAAACTGTGCAGGTCACAAGGAGTTGGAGCCCTCACTGTCCTGGACGAAGGGAGAAGAGTGACCTGCTAGAAACCTCTCTTGGTTCGGCGTTGTGGAGGCAGAAGCCCCTGAAAGAAGAGATGTGTGAAGAGAGGCAGCAAGTAGGCAGGTGGCCTAAATTTTCCCAGAAAACATTTTTTTCCTTAATCCATTCTTCAYTGATTTCAGTGAAGTATTCCAGATTCTCCTCAACACAGTGAAGGATTCCAAAGCAGAACCATTTTTCCTCTCCATCTTGCAGCACCTTTTACTTATCCGCAATGACTACGAAGCCAGGTGAGGAGGGAACCTTTACCCTGGGCTGTTAGGAGATGAATGGTGGCCCATGGTCCCCACCACGCTGCTTTTGTCCTGCAGGGAGCAAGGAATTAGGGTGGCAAAAACTAACAAGAAATCATTTAACAATTTTCTTGTTTTTAAGGAACTCAGTGTTAGTCTGCCATTCATGGTGGAATGTTATGATTTTAATAAGTTTTGTGTATTTAATTCCATTATGTTTTAGACTTCACTGAATGAAAAGAAGCTGTACTTTGTATAGTAAAATGAACAGTAATAAGAAAACAGAAAATCTCATACTTACATACAGGAAAAAGTAAACCAGAAGAGCATCTCTGAAAGCCTATTCTTTTTAGATTAGGCATAGTATTTTTCCTTTTCTGAAATACAAGTTCTGTTAACACTGAAAGCATACTTGATAAATATAAAGAAAAATACCTAACTTCAAGAGAAAACTCTTAGATGAAAGAGAATAGAATAAATAATGAAAAAAAAAGCAACACATAAAGATGATATTTTGGAAGAATAACTAAAATAATTGCCTCTTCATTAGGTCACTAGTGACTGATCTTGAAGCCCTCTGGAAGTTGTTTCCTGAATTAATTCAGGAGAAATCCTTCCTGCTAAAATAGAAGGAAAACTTACAACCAGCAAGATGGCAACTGGTCCACGAAGATCCAGTTTGTCTTGATCCTTTGTTGCCTATAGGGCAGATTCTGGGACATGCCAGGCTGCATGTCACCTGAAAAGCAAAGTTGCTGGTTAAAGAAAACACCCCAYGAGGATCAGACCATGTACTTGATCTCATGGTCTGCCCAGATGTCTAGCCTTGCATCCCATCTGTGATGGTGTCCAGGGAAGCATATAAAGGACTTCCCAGGATACCCACCTGCCCTCCAACTGCACGCTGGTTGGAGACTCTTTAAATCACCTCAACGTACTTGATAACCCCAAGTGAATTTGTTTTCCATAAATGTGTCTGGTCACCCCTTGAAGCTCAGCAGCACAGTGCTGAGAGATGTGTCTTGTTTTGCACTACTTGCATGCCACCAATTTTGTGAAGTGATATTAATGTTTCGTTGTCTTGTCTTCTCCTAATGCAGACCTCAGTATTATAAGCTGATTGATGAATGTGTCTCCCAGATAGTTCTGTACAAGAACGGTGCCGATCCTGACTTTAAATGCAGGCGTCTTAATGTAAACGTTGAGGGGTTGATTGGTAAGTCCTTTAGCAAACGAGCCCAATTCAATCAATCATGCTCTAAATCAGACTCATTTACTGAATCCCTGTATTTGTTCAAGCTGTTCCCCACCAGATTTTCCTGCTTTTCTCTGTTTTCTTGTGCTCTAGCTGAGCTCTCTTCTGGGGTTACTCCTGCCCCGTCCAAATCCTTGGCGCAGGGATCGAGGCTGTTCCTTGTTTCCCATCACGTGGGGCACACAGCTATTCCGCGAATATCCTGTCCCAAATGCTGCTGTGTTTGGGCAGGGAGCATTGCCAGTAATATGATATGCCATGAGAGCAACTTCCAGAAGAAACCAATTATTTTAGGTGTTGTGGCAAAAGGAAGGCCCTGTCCATCTTCAGATAGAGGTTCTGCAGCAGTGACGTGGTAATGAGAAGACAGGGCATGTCCAGCAAGGGCAGAGCTCAACCCTGAAACAAACAGTGTGGGGCATCAGCAGGGACTTAGGCAGGGTGTGGGAGAAGGAAGAGGGGAGTTTCACAGTGCTGCTTTTTTCTATTTAATTGTATTTCCTTTTCTTTTCAGATAACTTGATTGATCAAAACAAGGTGGAGAAAAGCGAGGCCAAAGCAGTGGAACTGGAGAAAAAGGTTTGGCTGATGGGGTGGCCTGGGTAGCAGATCTCTTGGCAGGGATCAGAGTACAGGCCATTAGACTTGCCACAGTGCAGTCAAACACTTTCCCCTGATTAATCACCACCATGCACATGGTGCTTGACCTTTCTGACAGCAGAAGAACGTATGTTTGCATCTCAATTAAAAAAAAAATGTAGCTGTCACGGCAAAAATATTTGAGCTGTGCTGTGGGCCATAGGGGTCCCATATGTCTCAGGCTTGCAGTTGATCTGGTAGTCACCTGCAGATCATACCTAATAGACAGCTAATAACTGAAGCTGTGATGGGATAGAATTGAAAAGTTCAGCCGCTGTCACCGCCGTGCAAGCAGCTGCCTTCAGATTSTTCCCAGCAAGAAAGGAGGCTCTGCCCATAGTCAAGTGTGAGTGTGTCCTGCCTTGCGACCTGTCACTGCRGGACTGGATAGCAAGACTGGAAGGATTTTGCCTCTTGGGTTAGGTAGAGGCATGAATCTTCATCTCTGGTTGTGTGATTTGGAGTAGTGCACAAGAGCGGTGTTATCCACGCTACCTAACCCCTCTGAGAGGCTTTTAGCTGAAGAAAGGAAGGTCCCCTCTGTCCCCGTCCCCACACACGCACTGGCAGCACTCCCTGCACTCCGGCCTCAACTCATCTGCTCCCTGTCCCTGCAGCTGAACTCRGAGCTGACGGCCCGGCAAGAGCTGCASGTTGAGATGARGARGATGGAGGGGGACTTGGARCAGMAACTCCYYGATRTGTCTCTSAAGAAGCAGAACTTGGATGCGGAGAAGCAGCAAATGAGTGTGGAGAAGCAGGAGCTGGAAAGCAAAGTGTCCCAGCTGAGTGAGGAGGTAACGCTCAGGCTGAGCCATGGGCCCAGGACTTGGCCTTGGCTTACAGCAGCTCTAAGTAGCGGTGCCACTGGAAGGAGGAGCAGTAATGATGAGAGCCCCCAGTGGTTGGCAGTTCTTTGGGGAGGGCCCTTAGAGGACATTCTGATCCATCCTTGGTTAAACAGGCAGAGGACAGAGGGCAAGGATGAAGAGACTCGATGAGTACTGATGCTGCTCATAACTGCCCACTACTGACCTGTTCTCCTTGCAGTGGTCATAGGGTGACTGTAAGGTCCAAGGCAAGGAAGGTCAGCCCACATCTTTAAAGATGACAGTTTTGAGCCTGGCCCAAGGGTCTTCTTTTGAGCAGCTTTCCRTGAGCTGGTGTCCTGGAGCTGAAGGAAGCTTGAGCTCCAGGACTGCAGTTTTTCATTTACCAAGGGATTTGACAGCAACTTGTGAGGGGAGGAGTTGGGGCTTTGAGATCAACCCTGGGGACAYGTTTCAGCGCGGTGCCTGTTTGCTCGGTCTGGCTGCTGAGGGAATGTTCTTTCTACTGTTCTTCAGATTGCTAAGCTGGAAAAGGAGCTTGAAGATGCAAAGAGAGAGAAGGCTTCATTCTCTTCTACCTTGCTTCCTTCACCTGAAGGCCATCCAGGGATCCTACAGCCTTCTCTCCCGGGTGCTCCTTCTGGGGCCATCCCACCTCCTCCTCCTCTCCCGGGTGCTCCGTCTGGGAGCATCCCACCACCTCCTCCTCTTCCTGGTGTTTCTTCTGTAGTCATCCCACCTCCTCCTCCTCTCCCGGGTGCTCCGTCTGTGGGCATCCCACCACCTCCTCCTCTCCCAGGTGGTCCGTCTGCGGGCATCCCACCTCCTCCTCCTCTCCCGGGTGCTCCTTTTGGGGGCATCCCACCTCCTCCTCCTCT